ATGACTATTTTGTGCTTGTGCAATTGTCTTACAACAGACACCAACTGTGTCATAGGCGAGCAAACACACACACACACAAAAACAAGACCACAGAAAAAGAAGTTGCAGGCTCCAGAAACATGGCCTCATAACATCGCTGGCAAGTGAAAGTGCATTGGCCGTGTTTGTGAAAGATATATCACATGATAAAAAGCTAATTCTTTGTCTGCACTGCAATGTCAGCCTGGTGCTTTCAAATTTATCTACTCTGGAGAGACTTTTGGAAAACATCAAGTTGAGCGCGCTGGCTTAGAGCGGATGGGAGGCCAAAACAAAGACAAAAGACGAGTTTTAACATTAATCTGGATTTGAGTGGACATGGTCTTAGAGTGAGGGAGAATGAAGTGCAGGGACGGAGAAATAAGAGAGGGGAAGATATATGAACTGAGAAGAAACCGGGGAAGTTGAGGGGAGTCGACAGCTAAATAAAAGTGAAATAGAGTGAGAAGTGAGTGAATACGTGGATTAAGTGCCTTTTTCACCAGAGGGGGCGAGCAGAACCCCGGCAACTTGCTCCTGGATGGGTCGATAGATATGAGCAGAAAGCTGAGAGCTGCTGGAATAATTGAGTCTGGTCATCGGGAGTGTGAAAAGCGCCAGGGCAGCAAAAAATAGCCATAACTCAATAAGATTGGAGGTGAGATTTACAATGTGTGCGCGATCAACAACAGAGATTCCTCCATATTTGAGTCTCCCGGCACAGCTGAGGGCTGCAGCTTCATCCCGAGGGGCAGCAAAGGCACCTTGTAAATATTCGTCGGCATCGCTCTTAACTTGACCTGGGATCGATGCGTTCGTCTCCGAAGCTTTTGGGAGGGAAAACGTACTGGGATCCATATTTTAGCAGATTGTGTAGACGGGGGTGGGGGGGAGGAAGCACAGGTACAGGTATGATTCCCTGTCTGCTAAATTTCATTTACAAAATAACAGAATCAGTCATGAGCTGTCTCCCACATCTCCATGTGACTGTACAAATATGCTCAGGCAATATGGGAAAATGTCATCTGCATCAGTTTGAATAATGGCCCATCTTTTATTTTGTATACACAGTGTATTGCTAAGCCCGGGGCAGCCTTGACTGGTAGCAGTTCATGCTTCATTAACTGAAACAAAACACTTGTGTCACATTTTATATATATGTATGCAATGTTTCTCATAGTTCATGTTATTCCAGTCACTCACTTGGGGCGGTAAGCATTTTTATGACCGGTGGAGATAACCATGCCATGATGGAGAAAGGCTGCTCTATGCACAGCCGCGAACCTCACCCCCTCCCCTCCCTCCTCCTCCATCTCCCTCCCTTCCTTCCCCACTTCCTCCCCCCACGCCGCCCCCCTGCCTCGTCCCAGGCATGAAAAAGTGAAGATGGGCTGTGGCATTGGCTGCCATTCAGCCTGACTCTCTCATCGGCCCCACAGAATGCCTTTCAGGGTCCCCCAGAGTAACAACTGCTGCGTTTTATTACAGCGTGAAATGGGGAGTGAAAGAGCGCTATGGATGTTCCTACTTAACCATGCAGAATGTGTCACCATTGGGTAGGAAGATAAGAGGACAAAGGGGAAATCAGCCGCTCAAATGCCTTTGTTAGGACTAACAGCTCAAGTCCATAGAAACAAGCTCTTGTTTACATCTCAGAGAAAAGCATTTGTGTCTTTTTGGGTGAAATTTGTCCTGAAATATGTTAACATCGCATAGAATAATTACATGCATTCCTTATGCTACTCAAACAGATGGTTGCTGCGTTGCCAGCCTGAGAGATTTGCTTGAGGGAGACCCAATGCTGGCACCCAAAGCCAGCAGATACACTATGTCCAGCTCAATTATGTTCTCTACTCTGGTTCCACGGTGCATGTTTCCAGATTATGTCTCAGAAGTCAAACACTAGCCGCTCGCGGTGCAAGATGTGCAAATGTTTGAGCACTACGAAACTTTAGGTCACCCGCTAATAGTAACGGTTAGACCACAGACATCTCCTGATGGGATCTTAATAATATATTAGCGGTGCTTTTCGATGCTATTAATGCTCAGGGGAAGGTTTTTGAATTGGGGTAGAATTCTCACTGACCAATGGTCAAAGTCTTTAAAATCCAAACATGTAGAAGCAGATTTTTCAGGAAGACGAGGGCGTGTATTTGCATGGGTTGGGGTGGAGGCGGCGCACCACCAAAGACTTGCACAAGAGCTTATAGGAAATATGTTGTGGCTTTATCCCCAGCATATTTTGGCTGCATTAGTAACATGGTTTAGATTGCGTACCAAACTGTGTAAATAGGAATCAGGCACTTGATTGATGAGAGTACCTTTGTAATTATATCCAGCCGTCCTATTTGCTTTGGCAAGACATCTGTCGTCGGTCCTCCTCTTTCCTACTTAAATGTCAGGTTGTGGGTGTGGCTGGGGAGAAACGCTGACAGATTGTCAGTTTTCAGCACACCTGCAGGGAGCTCTCTGCCTCAACACAGATGCTTATCTTCTTTTAAGAGTGTCGTTTACAATATTTTCACACAACAATGGCTCTGATGAATTTAGAAAATACAAGTTTTGGATACAATTCAGCAGTTTTTTTTTTTGCTAGTTGGGAACTTTTGTCCTGAAGAGTTAATGGAAAAAAACTAACAAAAAAAAAAACTTGGACTGTTAGGGTGAGACAACACCAAAAACACAGCCAGCATTCTGCTCTGTGTTGCAATATCCTCAGTACGCAATGTGCTGTGTTAATTCATGCCGCTTGGCACACAAGCCTGTGCATCTCGAGGTAACGATGATTCTATTTTCACTTGTATAGTTGTGATTGTGGTGAACCAGAAAGGGATTCATCCTCAAGAAAAGCCGATGGAATGCATTCAGTCCATGCACACAGGATCTTTCAATGAGTAAAATGAGCTTGATCCCCCGGCTTATGCGTGTATGTTCAGTGATTTGTAGAAGGGATTTGGGGGCTTTAACATGTGCGTCTACTGGCAGAATGTCCTTTAGACGCTGGTGCGGCACACAGTCATTGCCTCAACACCTCATTGTTCCAGCACGGTGCTTGTATGAGCCTGGGATGCTGAGGTTGCTGCTACTGCCCATCTGCGCCGCAGGCTCTGCTCCCAGAGGACACAATTGAAAACAGAATTAATGACATAAGGTCACCATATTATTAATAGCAGATGATTTTCAAACTGCATAGACTCTCTGGACAAAACTTGGACAGTGCAGTTGAGCTCGTATGTCATCTTAAAATCTCTGAGGTGTTACAGCGGTTTCACCTGATCAGCTCTGTAGAAAACCACATTCATTTCTTTTGGAGCGTTCTGCTGTCATAACCCTCCAAGGTTCCCATTTTTTTTTTCTCTCTTGGCACTTTATATTTTATATGACTGGATTGATATCTATATTGCTATGAAGTAATTAAGAAAATACCCTCCCTTTCCCAACCTCCTCCGCTCCCTGGAGCCCCGGTGTTCAACACTCAGCACACTGTCCACGCAGAGCTTGTCGGCTGCCTGAGACAAGGCTGGGCAAAAAGCAAAGACCCAGCAGAGAAGCCGAGTGTAATTGAGCGCTGGCAGCCTTGTGCACGGTCCTGATTGCAGCCTGTTCCTCCAGAAGCAAGGTTTATGTTTCATCATACGCCCGTCCACCACACTCCATAAAAAGCAAATAAACTTTTCACTGGCAATGGCATAATAATGACAGAGCTGGCTAATGAGCGAATTAAAGAGTAATAAATACAACTCTGGCCCCCCGAATGAGAAATTTCTTACATCGTCTTTAGCGTTTAATGCAGTTTTTACAGTGGCTGCCCTCATTTAACCACTCCTCTGTACTGTACCTTACATAATGTTCTGATGTCTTTTTGTTTTTTCCTGACCTTCACAGATGGCAGGTTTCCATATCATATCATATCATATCAAACTATCCCAGATGAGGAACGTGTTGAAAAATTTCCCGACGTACCTTACGTTCACACTGTAGCTGGTGAAGGAGTCTAAATTAAATAGGGCTGAATGAGTGACTTTGGCAGGTCGTGGGTTGGTGCGGTTTGGGTTGCTCCCAGTGCAGTGCAGAAGCAGCCTGGCAGCAGTTTGACTGAGCTTTCTCTTCTCTTTCACACCAGCTCTCAGCGGTGTGGAGCAGCAGGAGCGTATAAGACCCTCGCTTTCTCTCAATCCCAGTCTGAACGCATTCCCTTTGCTGCAGCAGAACCTGCCTGATTCCATTGGACATGCATGGACCTTTTGTGTTATATTACACTCACTCTTATTGAGTTTGATTCGTTCGGGGTGAGTTGTTGTATTTAAAGCGAGGGGGGGAGTTTGACTAGATTGGTAAACTTTCATTTTAAATTTTTATCATCCCATTATGTTTGGCAAAATGAGTTTGAGCTGCACTCACGCTGAGGTTTTCTTTTTTTTTTTCTCTCTTTTATCCCGCGCCCTATTCCGAGCATTCAGTAAAATTTGTTCCACGTGTTAAAAAAGGGAATCCCAAGAACATTAAACCAAGTGTATCATTTATTAAACGCTCTCCGTTCAGAATGGTAAAGAGAAGGGGAGTTTGGTGCCGGTGCCAGAGCGTATCAAGCCCAGACATGAGCAGGAGAAGTGGCAGGATGAGAATGAGGCGTAGACAGTATGGGGAGGCTAGTAGTGTTAAGGCGTGAAGACAGAATCTGTCAGTGCCCACACCAAGCAAAACTCCAGCATGAGTAGATTTCTAGAGACAGCTTGTGCCTGTCTGCTCATAGCAGACAACCCTCTTGCCCCATGTTTGCTTTTGTAGAAGACTGTTTATGTCCTTTGAAGGTATGCCCGGCATCTGTAACAAAAAGGGGTGTGACTGGTTGTTGTGAGCGTGGTAAGGGGAAGCGCCTGTCAGGCCGCCCGCGCACGAGCGCAGAAGGCACCATCTCCGCAGCAGTGGCCCTTTGATGTGGCTGCTTCTTTGAAGAACTGACACCCTTCTCCTTTTCACAGTGCCTGGAGCCCTGCAAGGAATCCTGGGACCTGAAGGAAAACCAGTGCCAAGATTTATGCGAGGTATGTCACTACCACAAATACTGTGGTTACCTCAGATTTGACTGTTGGAGCTTTTCAAAACCTAGTGGGGAAAATTCAATAAGAGGAAAGTTTGAAAGGAGTGTGAAGTAACCCTTTCTGCACTGTAACGACACCCTCTGTGAGGCTGAATCAAAGCTCTTTAATGTCCTCACCGCTCCAGTGAGTCACAAGTTGAAAAGTAAACAGGACAATCACTGTTTGCAGCCTGGCAGGTTGTTCCTTAAAAAAAAAGTCATCTTACATATATTTTTCCTCTCCTTTCTTCTAGCCCCTCTTTCCCAAGAAGCACTATGAGTGTCTCACGAGCTGTGAGTTCCTAAAGTCGGTAGAGGGAGTGAAGCAAGGCGACTGCCCTGCCCCGGAGAAGGCCAGCGGCTTTGCGGCAGCCTGCGTGGAGAGCTGCGAGGAAGATGGAGAGTGTTCAGCAGTCAAAAAGTGCTGCTCCAATGGCTGTGGCCACACCTGCCAGCTGCCAAAGAACCTCTACAAAGGTAATGCTAAAGGCAAAAGAAATTAGTCTTGCATTTTATTGCATCATTCTGCAACAACAAGTAAAGAATCCTTAAGAATTCCATCGTGGCAACACCTGTGGTTCCTGGTGGTTTAATGACTTCGACAGCAAACACTCCTCGAGCAGCTACTTTGTAAGAAACACAACATAGGAACAACTGTTATATCAGGTTACGGTGCAACCACACATAGTCATTTTGCTCGACCTGATTCCATCATGCACATGGCACGAGTAGTTTTCCAACCACAGCGGGGCACATTGAGAAGTTTGCTACCTTGCTGAAGAGTTGGAGATGCACAGCCTGTTGCCTTTGGCCGCTCCTTTCGGTTTCGTTAATGTGATATTTAAAACCGACGCGCTGATAGAAAATGCCAGCATTTTGCATTTGTAGATAAATATTAGCTGTTGTTGGGGTCAAATACATGTTTGCTTCACGGTAAAAGCTCCACCTGTTTGCCCAGTCGGATGCTTTCAGGCGCAGTACACAGTAAACAAAGCATGTGTTATCACTGAGATAAAATTAAAATCAGTAAAGCTGGATTACATCCCCTCACCTGCCATTTTATTAGCTCCATCTGTGAAATCTAATGCAGCCTAATACACCAGCTCTGACATACAATCCATAACATGAGTGAAAAAATATTAAGAACGCTTTCAAATGTAAGGCAGTCCAGTTCACCACCATCACTGCCCAGTATGACCTCAGTAATAAACATTAAGTAGTAGAAGCATCACCTTATTGACAGTACCAACAAAAAATGAACATGTAGAAGCTTTGTAAAAGTAGAATTTTTGTCAGAACTGTGGTATTGGATTACATATATGCAGGTATATTGAATCCCTGGAATGACTGGATGCTGCCACTAACAACCAGAGATCATTTCTGAATGTGAATACACTGAGTAGCTAGTTATGAAATAATGCAGACCACAAAAAGTAAACAATATTTATGAAAAACAGTGCTGGATTTTATGAGATTAGAACATAAACATCCCTATATTGCTGTCCTCATAGAGTAAGTAAGCATTAAATAGTAATATGTATTCAAAAGTCTCCAAATTCTTATTACATAAACATTAGTATTTGCTTTACTAAATTACACAACACCTATTAAGTTCACATTGTCCACTCTAGTAGCGTCTTATGTCAGCTTGTTGCAGCAGCTCATTGAAGCGATGTAACGGCTACAGTAAATGAAATAGCCACACCTAATGTCTCATTGCCCCATTTCACCCGATAGAGTTTTTTTTTTCTACACACATCTCCCCAAAAATCAGCTCAACTTTCTTAACTAAACTGTGAAACAAAGTTCTCAAGTTTTTTTTTTTAATGAGCCACCCAAAGGACAGTAGAAACCGAGAGACAAATTAGGCAATCTAAAACACAAGGGAAACCTTACACAAAAAATGTGTAGTTAAATTATTAAATAAAATGCTCAGTGAGAAATGTGAAAACTCTGGCAATTAATTAGATTATAAAACATGATTAATTCGATAAGAAAGAGCGTTCTAGAGCCAGCCAGGTTAACAGACTATGGTGCACAAAGTGTCTAAGCATTATTCCATGCACGCTGATAAAGTTGCTTAATTGTCCGTGCACTTAACTCATCTCTTTATTTAATTATTGCTCAGTAGTGTTGCCAAGAGGGACCAGATTACAGTAGCACAGCTCATCAGCTGAATCATGGATACTCCTTTCCTCTCTACTTTTTTTCCCCCCCGTTTTTTCAGTAATTGGTATTTCATAACCTGTAATGGTCCAATGCAAATGTCATGTTTTTAATGTGATTAACTGCTGCAGTTTGCATAATTCTCATAAATAGCGTCGAACCAATTAATCCCTCTCTGTTGAACATGAATTGGAGATCTCAGTGACGCAAGCACAGATTATCATGCTCAATTTTTGACAACTTGCTTAGAGTCATAAATCTTTATTTCATCTCTTTGCATTGTACTTCAACCCACGCATCCCTCATGCTGTTTCTGCTGTAAATTGGAATATATAGTCGGTATTGAAATTGCAGGATAAGCTTGAGGGTTTTGCAGACACAGATGTACCCAGGAATCTTTTGCAACAGTAAAATAGTTAAAGAGCGCCGCCGAGGGCGACTTGATGTTCTGATGGTGCCGAGCCATTATGTGAGCGAACCGAGCGCCCCTGAACTTGGAGATGAGAACTGGAACTCCGTTAAACACACTGTCAGCACACAATTGCTGGCAGCCCGAGGCCATGACAAAAGTTGAGGAGATGGAGTCAGTGGAAGATGAGTCTAAATCAAACTTTAAACTGCTGCAGCGATGTACTGTAGCTGTGTATGCTTTGAGTCACACTGCAGTAAGTCTGTGTGCTGTGCTCGGTGGTGAGCTGCATGTGATTTGTGAGTTTGTGAGCACAGAAGAGCACGCTTGTATTTATATTTTAAGAGTTCATTTGCAAAAAACATGTAACCCCACTTCTGTAGATTTTCAGAAAACATATTTTTTTTTGTTATTTGCTTGAGATCACATCAATCAAACTGAAGCTGAGTGGATTTGACTCAGTAGAAATGATATGACAAAAACAGAGATAACTTAAGTTTGATTGATATTGTCTCAGGTAGATGATGGAGAAGTGGGTTTTCGGAAGGTTTGTGAAGATGGAGTTATCTACTTTTGCAAATGAACTCTTCATTTGATTTAGAAATAAATCCTGAGGGTCTTCATGGTGGATGTCATGCGTAAAAGGTGTACAGCCCTTTAATCTGAGGGAAGATGAAAGCAGACGTGACCTTGAAAAATTTCAATACAGTGACCCAGTCAATGAAAACCATTCACCGCACGGCGAGACCTTGGAATCAAGCAGCCTCCCTGCTTGTTTAGGTCCAAAACACTGAGCTCATGACGGGTCGCCGTCAGCGCAAAAATGTACGCTGAATTACGCTGAGCATTTTGGTGAAAGTCCACATGGAATTCCTGTCCCGGTCCTCAGTGTTAAAGGTCTAATTAGTTGCTCATGGTTTGAAGAGCGTAATTGTTTCTGTGTGTGCGCGAGTGTGTATGCAGTCTTCACCATGATGAGCCATGATGCTGGAAGCCATTAGCAAACACAAGCGGGAAGAAATGGAGCGTTTCCCCCACTGAGATCACTCTCAGATGTGTGTGTGTTTGTGTGTGTGCTCAGGTTAAGGTCCCCAGCTCATGTGAGTGTATGTGTGTGTGTGTGTGTGGGTCCCTGACAGAAAAAAAACTTTAGTCTCTGGACCCCCACCGGGCTTTTGATGTGTAACAAAGCTTCTTCTTTTTTTTTTCATTTTTTCTTTTTTACATCAATGACTCCCCTCATCATCCGCTTCTCTGCAACGCTGCCTCATAGTTTTATTTGCAGAGCTTGTGCCTCAGATAAAAATTTCCTGAGCATGCAAGGGAATAACTGCTTTATTAGACTCTGCTATTTCTCTCATTTTCGTGTGCAGCACCCCGTGTTATGCAACCCAGCTTGTTTTGCGTGATCAAACCAGCTCTGCAATATCATGTGAGAAAAATGTGGAGTTAAATTCAATTTAGCGAGAGCCATATTCGCACTGTCACAACAAGTCAGTCAGTCAATCAAGTCCGTAAGCCATCCTCAGTTTACGGTAAGTCATTGTGCTACGAGCAGTACTCGCAGTGTTCTCCCCAACCCCTGTAATTAGAGCCGTCATTATGACAGTGTGTGCGTGAGTATTGAGAATTATATTCCTGTGAGTGTAATTGTTGGCATGATTAAGACATGAATGAACGCCGTATTCTTGATCGTGCCTCAGCAGCAGTTACATCATGGTTTTGGAGTAAGCGGGTGGCCATTGAAAAATGAATGCTGTATGATTTTTGGACCAAACCTGACCCGAAAGTTATCTTTGGAAAGCGCAAAAGCTGAGAGAAAGTGTATTCATTGTCCTCCCACATATTGCGGAAGAGCGAGGTGGTGTGTGTGTGTGTGTGGTTTGTGAGTACTTGTGTGACTTTTGTGGGATGATGAGCTAAGACAGAGGGAGAGGAGGAATGCTGTGGTTACCTTAGTGTTGATTATTGCGCAGGAAATGTGACACGTTTGTTCGCGCGTGCACAAGACGCACGTACACACAGGCGCTCTGCTGTGGAGCTGTGAAACCACAGCACAATGACCCCCAGCTGTTAGTATGCAGAAAGCTGTTATCAGAGTGACAAAACAAAGTACTGACTCCATATGCATGTGGCTCAAGGACCCTCCTCCGTCTTGCAGGGTTTTTATGCTCACCAATCCATCACTTTTACTTGCCCGCTATGAAGAATGAATAGAGATATAAGTAGATCAAATGCTCTGCATGCAAAATTCGGTCTTGATTATGTTGTTTACCAACATGCCGTGCGGTAGCCTTGAGCGCGCAGTGATGCTGTTTATAAATGCGAAGCAGCAGTGGGCCATTCAGCAGCGACAGAGGTCCAACATAATGGTCTGAAGTGCTAGGTGATTTATTGAGAACCGTGTGATGTGTTCAGCCTTCTCCTGTACTTCCAAACTTGCTTTTCCAATCTCCATCTCATTATCACTGTGCCCGACGCTCAATCAACAACTCACTACGTCTCCGCTGCAATAAATTTACTTGAGAGAGACAGTCTGAGTTGGCGGAGTGTTTGGCCCGGTCCCGCACTTAATAAATCTCTAATTTATTGCACATGGCCACATCGAGTTTGTCTGAAAAGCTGAATATGAAGTTCAGTGATGCAAATTAACTTTACATGTATGTGTTTATCTTTGTACTTGGTGTCTGTAAAAGAGGAAGAGAGGGAGAAATATCATGCACGCCATCTGACATACCTAAATGCAAACTATGTGTATCATCACTAAGAAGTGCAGCTACTAAAACACTCTGGCCAGGAAATATCACAATCTGTCACAGTAGAAAGATGATGCTGTTGACCCACAGCGTGTATTAAATCTATTGCAATGAGGTCATGTCTCATTTTCAAATCTGTATCTGTCCAACTCTGATGGTGTAATTTATCTTTCCAACCTTTCACCCAAGAGAGGCAAACAACAAACTTCAAGTTGAATTTCACCTAGGATGTTAAACTTGTCACTGTGTCAACATGCGCGCTTGTACTTTTAGGAGTCCCACTGAAGCCGAGGAAGGAGCTGGTGTTCTTGGAGCAGCCGTCAGGTCAGCTGGAGATCCGCTGGTCCTCCAAGTTCAACATCTCCGTGGAGCCTGTCCTCTATGTGGTGCAGCGCCGCTGGAACTATGGCATCCATCCCAGTGAGGATGACGCCACAGAGTGGCAGACTGTGGCACAGGTAGGAAACTGCACACCACACATGCAATAATATGGAGCACGTCAGTAAGATCATTTAAAAAAAAAAATCAAAACAATTTTCCATCCAACTTGTTGTGTGAGTGATTCTTCTGATCAGAGTTCTATAAGAAGGGAGAAAAAAAAAATTAGGGGGTTGAAATTAAAGCTCCATGTGTCCCAGCATGCAAACCGCTGCAGCTGTGAAACTGCTGCACTGCACTGACAGGCTGTCGCACACGGTTGCACATTCCTCACAGTCACAGTGTCTTTGAAAGTTTGGCAAAGAGAAACACACAGATGACTGATGTGGCAGCAAACTCACATGGGGCTGTGACCCTGCGTAAACCCTGACCCCTGTGGTTTGCTCTCCCCCCCATCTGTCCCTCAGACTGCAGAGGAGCGCATCCAACTGGCTGACATCAGAGCCAGCAGATGGTACCAGTTCAGAGTTGCAGCAGTCAACGTCCACGGGACCCGCGGCTTCACTGCACCCAGCAAACACTTCCGCTCCTCCAGAGGTCGGTGTGTGTATGTGCAATGTACATGTGTGTGGGTGCGTGTGTGTGTGCGTGTGTGTGTGTGTGTGTGTGTGTGTGTGTGTGTGTGTGTGTGTGTGGCCTTGCTTTTGTGCGTAAGTTCCTGTTTGACACTCACTGCCCTCCATTTGTTATGGTTAAGACCCCAGAACAGGTGGACCCTTTGGGAAAGACTTTGAAGACCTGATTTGACTTCTTATATGGTCATACAAAGCATGCAAGCTTATGTGGTGAATGTTCTCTTTGCATGTCAGCCAAGCTTTTTTTTTTTTTTTGTATTTTGTTACTTTATTATATATTATGCATCTCTTTAGTTGGACACTTTTCGTGGGAACTCAAGTTTTGTTTTTGTCTGATTCACTCCTAAGCTGATTAACCCCACGTCTCCATTAAACGGCAGCAAATTGATTCTGACTGAAATATGGCTGCTTAGGCCAAACATGCATTTGTCGCTTTTGACTGATGGTTTTTACACTAATTACATGTGTTTATTTAAAACTGCATTTGGGCATTAAACCATTGAATTCCCTCATGTACCTTGTTAACCTGAATTGTAAATAACTGTATCCCCTCCGCAGTTTCCACACATTCACCCAGTGAGCGAAATAAAATTCATGCCGATGCCAAGTAGACTGCGAGTAATGAGGAGGGACTGGGTGCGCAGAACATTTCGTTTCTGTGTTGCAATACGATCTTCATTTATGTCTTCAAAGGAGGGGTTTCCCCTCTTTGCAGTCATAAAAAATGTAATAAGTCTGAATTAGTCAGGATATAGCAGGTTTCAAATGAATGCAAGTGTTGTCTTGCTTCCAGAGCCAGTGACGTAGCCGAGGCACATTTCAGATCTTTGCCACAGATTAGTGAACAAGCTCTGATGGCATCCAGTGTTACTCCTTCAAACTCCTTTACTGTACTTCCTAAACAGCAACGCCGTGTCGCAGATGGCATTTGTTAAAGTTAATGGACAGTTGTTTTTGTGGTTCCCAGGGATTACAGGTTTGTAAATGTAATATTGTGTCTAGATTGCATCTGATTCAGATCAGATACTGTGTGTTTGTTTGACATGTAGAGGCAAAGCCATGTGCCCACCACTTGCGCCTTGAGCAGCCTTGAGTTCAGTTTCTGTAAACGTATATGATGTGAAATATATACATGCATAAAGGTGTCCAGTGGTGGAGTGCCAGCAGATATCCTAAGTACTCGCCATGTTCTGACAAATGCCAGACCTGAACCAAATACAAAAAGTATTCGTATGTTTGGTGGTGTGTTGACCTGTCCTGTCAGTCCTTCGTCATGCATTTACCCTCCAGAGAATTCTGTGTGGCTGTCAGTCCGAGCCAGGCACCAGGTGGGAAAAGGATTCTGCTTCAGGGAGGGAAATGATCTCCAATCAGTGCCAGAATGGTGATAGATTGATGAGAGCTGTCATGGATTTGATGAACTCCTGGTCATTCTGTCATGCCATTGCTATTTATACAGCGCGGCCGTATCATCTGAATGCAATTTTGCACTACTATACTTTGTTAGGGCAATTTGTAAGAACTGACTGCTTATTTATCTTGCACAGGCAACATCAGCTGCTATGGGGAACTGATGTGTCCAATTGTGTTTTTGGGCCGGATTAAATGTGTTTCAGGTGGGAGAGGGCAGGGGGAGAGGAGAGCCAACTGGGCTGTGGCGTGAATCATTTTCTCATTACAGGACCGTTCCCTCTGCTCAGGCGTCTGGCATGTGGCCCTGCCTGTCCTCCTGCACCAGGCTGACATCAGCAGCCAGCAGTAGGCTGGGTCACAGCACATATGGATGGGTTCAGAACCAGCTTTACTGTGGACACACACACACACTAGTTTGAGATGTGGAATGTTGAGTGTGGAGCCAAAGTGAGCAGCATGTGTTTGTTAACCTCTGACCTGCGTTCTCGGTCCTGCCCAACGCTGTCATGGACATGACATGACACCTGTCATAACATCTCATGGCAGATTGTCAATGGAGGACTAATTACTTTACACAGTGTCATACTTGTCCCCCTCCTCAGCTGGAGTGCAGGCTGCATTGGTGAAAGGTGTCTTTCGGCCCGTAATACATTCTCCCTGAAATTATACTCGCGAGAGAACTGCCACGGCTGAAGATTTGTCGCACACAAGAAGCAGAGGGCCTGTTTGTCTTCTTCCCTAAATGTTCACAGATGCATCAAAGTCTGTTACCACTGATGGTGTTGTTTCTTGTTGTTGCTATGTCTTCAGATCCATCTGCCCCTCCCAGCCCGACCAGTCTGCGTGTCACCAACGTGACGCTGGGTGATGAAGGCCTGGTGACAGCTCGTCTCAACTGGACCCTGCCAGAGGAGCCCGATATTCCAATACATCACTACAAAGTGTTCTGGAGCTGGACTGTGCCCACCAAGTCAATGGTGCCATCCAAGAAGAAAAGGAGAAAGACCACCAATGGGGTAATCTTCTCAATCTGTCTTAGTGATGTGCTCTCTTTCTTTCCTGTCTTTGTCCTCTCTCTAAGACTGCAAGGTCCCTTCCAAGATTATTTCAGCATCTTTTCCTCAACACATCTCCACAAATACCCATGCAGGACTGCAGTGGGGGGAAAAGAACAATTAACATAGAGTAGGAGTTGCATTTATTTATATGTACTTTCAGGGCTATCAGTAACGCATGGATGGATACAATACGTATTCATTGTTTTACTTCCTTATACTGATGAAAGAACCCTTAAACAGAGCTAAGATTTGAAGGAAAGCACATTAAGTATGATGAATCGCCCTGTGTATAGCGATAAATCATGATTTCAAGGTTTGTGTGTCTTAAATATCTCAATTTGTATTGTTTGCTTTTTTTTAGTTGGTGTTTAAAGCTAGCGTTCTTTTCCACCCCGCTCAGTGTTTGATTGTGGGATTCAGGAGTCTCTGAATAGGTGTATGAGTTTGTTTTGTTCTATTTTTAACATAGATTTCAGCAGCTTCAACATCAAGTGCATATAGAACCGTACACAGAATGCCTAACCTGTAATCTTTTATTGCTCGAAAACATCCAAGAAACCTTCTCTAATAATGACATAAATATGATGTCTAAACAAGGTACCACTGATTCCTTTTTATTAATGCCCTTGTTATTCCTTGGAACGGCTTAGATTGCGTACTGGAACATTCTCAACCATTTGCGCGAGCCAGAAAGAAGAGGGTTTTATGGCCGTTTCTCTGGGATGTTAAAGACAAAGGCTCTATTTATGATCACAAAGAAAGATGTAATTTGGTTACAAATGCTTAAACAAACAGGCAACCCAAGAGCTTACAATGAAACCCGTGGACCAATATCTTGTTTTTGTTCTACATAAAAATGACAGTATTGGAACCGTTGCAAATTGAAGCAGTGAATCTTTAAGCACGTATAAACTGGAATGACCTTCGAGATAAATCATCGACTGAATCACAGACTTGTGTGTGCGACTGAATAAATTTGAACGTTTTGTGAGCCGTTTGCAAAATATATCCAGTAACGCGACCTAACAGTGAATAGATGTGACTCAGTATCTGTGAAGGGCATTTCATTAGAGACTCGAGCAGAAAGACAGATTGTCTAGACAGTCCGCACACTCCTCTATAGAGTCTTCTCCTGAATTAGTTTTTGAAATGCGTAGCAGATGTGGCACAGAGCAGATAGAGGTGGGAGACACCAGACACCTATTGACACATGTACTACTGGTTTCCACTTTGGCACCTCGGGGCTTTGAAAGCAGCCTGCTGGTAGAGGAATGTCAAAACACGCACAGTCAATAACAAGAACTCATCAAGTTCACGCTGATGGTGGAATGCTGGAAGTCAAACACAGTGAAGAAGCCCTGGGAGGCTCTGATAACATGGCTCTCTCACAAGGCCCTGAAGGCTATCTCCTCACCACAAACCCTTCCTTAGCTCCACATGTGTTCTTAATAAGCAGGGCTTTCCCACAGGCCTGCGTTGGCTGGGGCTGGAGCTGGAGCTGGAGCTGTGACTGGTGCAGTGACAGGACCTTGAGTGGAGGCTCAAGTGACAGTGCGGTAACTTGCAAATGCCAACATCCAAGTGTTTTTTTTTTTTTTTTTTGTTGCCACAGGCTCAGAGTTGGGTGGATCTGGAGGGACTGCAACAAAACAGCAGCTACACTGTGGAGTTGCAGGCCGTCACATACTGGGGACAGGTGCGGCTGAAGAGCTCCAAGGCCTCTCTGCACTTCAGTACCACCCAGAATAACGACTCAGGTAAACATCAATGCCACTGTTCTATTCTTCACTCAGCTGTCCAACTTGTAATGCCTTTCTATATGTCATCAACATAACTGTGGGGATGGCAATGCTGGTGAGTCCATGAAATCTTGAACATATATTCATAGTTTACAGCATGGTAACCCTAGACTTTAGTGATACCCTTAGCCCTTTGAACCCTAAAACTCACCAGTGGTTTTGAAATGCAAGTTATATTTGTTGTTTTTTTTTAAAAGACCAAAAATTACACCATTTATCAGAGCCAAAAAGTCTTACACGGGGTCAGATTTTCAACCTCCCAGCAGTCCTTGAACTAATCACATGTGACGTGCCATTCCGTCTGGAAAATAACCAAATCTAAGTTTAAAATTGTGTTATTTTGTCAAAATCGATTTATTCTGCCTGTGTCATTTTACGAGATTTCGTTAAAAAAGGGGGAACATTTTCCGTTCTTCGACACAACTGAGACGCCTTTAGTGAATCAGCTCTGACCAGCTTTCACATGACAAAAAATTTAAGGACTTTTCAGTTGAACTGCAGGCTGTGTAAAAAACAAGCAAAAAACAATAAATAAATATATATATAGCATTATAATTTTTTTATACTGTACAGAAGAAACTATTGAGTACTTTTTACCTTGAGCCTTGGTTGTGCTGTTTCTTTAGAGGTGTAGGACTTGCAGCACTCAAAAATGACCTCACTTTGAGGAAAAATGTGACAGGAGCAACAACAACAACAATAACCCAGAGACTGCAAAGGGTTCAGAGGATTAATTTGCCTCTACTGCCACTACAAGCTTGTATGATTGTAGTAACCAAAACCCTGCCAAATTCATCCACGTCCCTATCTCGTGCTTACCGTTTATTGCTTAATAGCACCTGTTCGCGCTGTTACACATGTCAGCAATATAATTGTAAATATAAGGGGGTCCTGACATTAACATTTAGCCTGAAGTACCAGTGTATCTAAGTATAGCTGCAGCATATTAAAGGTACTTTATATACAGTACCATGTCCATGTTTAGCCGCAGCACCTTTGCATCGGTTACACCCCCACATGGAAATTGAGGTCATATGTCAACCAAATAGACATGGTAGATACAATTTAGAGTCACATGCAGGGCTGTGCACTACCTGAAATCAAATCAAACCTGGATGGAGCCGCAGCATTCTGATTGCAGATCCATATGGGATTGGCTGAACCGACCTAGCAGAATCCAATTTTCTTTTTGTTTGTGTGCATTTCATGAGACTTGAATTTACCTAAATTACTGAGAGTCTTCGGGCAATCTTCATGAGAATTGCAAAAAGCCGGAGTGGGCCCGTGCTGCACTGACAGCACATCTGCATTCATTCGGAGCCCTTGAGTATTTAGGAGGCACAGACTGAGTCTCAGTGCTGTCAGTGTGTACATGCATAGCTCTAGAGGGAATTGAACCTCCAACCTTGCCAGTGTTTGCACTGTGTGTAGACTTACAGCACATTTATACATAAAGAACATGTTGTTCGTCGTGTTGTTTGCCGCTGTGATGTTACAGAGAAATAACTGTGTGTTTCTGTTACCATGCTGGAGAGTTTGCCACAACACAGTCCTCGTCGTGTCTTAGCTACAGCAGCAAACATTCCTCCTTCTCTTCCCCCAGCAAAATCAGTGCTCAAGTCAAAGAAGGAGGAGCTATCCCCTCTCGGATCGACCCTGGCCAAACGCCCTTCTGGCCCTCTAGAAGTAGGCACGCCCTTCTACCAGGATGGCCAGCTGCAGGTCCGTGTCTACTGGAAGAACCGAGGAGGTAAGCGTTACACTACTGTACTGATTTATGGCTTTGTTAGAATCTAATTAGCACTCCATTATGCCCATCAATCACTATGACTCATGTACAACATCATAAAATGCTATGACTGATTCTCACATACTCAAACAATGGAGGATTCCTTTTATAAATGTGGTATCACTGTAAATGAAACAATGTGTCTTTGTGAGAGCTGAGTAATGTGAGTGCCCTGGCAGAGCGGCGTAAACCTGCACGTGGACTGGTAGAGCGGAGCCACCGTTTACCAAAGAACAATAAACACACAGAGCCGGGGCCGTGCGATGGGATTTATTGACAGCTGTATTTAATACATCCTCGCCTTCGCATTAGCGTCGAAGCGGCCCATTTTGTTTTACAAGACCTGATGTCATAGGGAGCAGACACGCTGGTGGCTCGTCAGCACTGCGAGGGGTTAAAGCCTGTAGGAATGCCTGTCCCAGCGGCGTCCATTCCCCCCAAACCTTCTGTTAATACCAGAGTGAAAATATGGAAACCTTGAAAGCCATGCTCTCAGGGTAACCTGTCAAGTCCCATTCACTGGTCTATGTTATGTTACTAATATATGTCATCGCCCAAGCCAAACTCCACATCTTAGAGTCAAGAATGCAAACCCTGGCTGAAGGAGAGGCCTGGTGAGACACCAACTGCTGAATCAGAGTAAGAGAGAGCAAGAGGAGGGGGGAGATAGAGTTGGCCCAGAGCTGTTAGCAAGGTTGGCCTAGACTCAGAGAGCTGAGTGATGCTGACGGGGATCAAGCATGGCTAGGGAATCACAGGGCCGCAGAGCAGAGTTAATCCTGGTCCAGCTTCTTTCTCCGTCCCCTTGTTCTGTGGTCACGGTCCGCGGTGTGAGTGTATGCCACTGCCACTCATTAGTCTGAGTGATGACCCTGGCTCTGACTCTGACAATCAGGGTTCCACTACTGTAAACATACAGACGTACAGATGGCCTGGAGAGCTGGAGTCTCTGGACATCTGGTTTGTGTGACAGAGAAAAGGGACAGGTTAACTGAACCATGATTAAACTCTCCCTCATTGTCTCCGTGATCCAGAGCAGCCCGTCCTCTGGGTTGTCTCCAGCAGACGTAATAGAAGCGTACTGTACGCCGGCTCAGATAGTGTATCGCTGTCTGCCTCGACACCCAGACAATGGACGGCATTTTGGCGGTGGCGGGACTTCTGAGGCTTCCAGTCGGGATTTATCGAACGCTGCTGAGGTTCTGTTCTCTACCTGATTTCCATGTCCCATTTCTTGTTTTACATACCACTTCCCTTCTCCGTCAGACCCAGCTAAGCATATCTTGTTTATTTTTTTTCCCCCCGATTTCCCGGTTCCCTGTAATTCCTCTCTTCTGCTTCCAAAGAGCTCAGGGGCTTCAAGTGCCAGATCTGTGTCTAAGCCTTCAAAGGACCCCTTTTATCTCCCCACTACAACCCAGGCCCCCGCCGAGGGGTGAACATAGCACAACTCAATTATTAATCGGAGAAGTATTTCACATATCCAGGCGACACAGTTGAATGAATAATAAATCTGGTAACATAAGATGAGGGTGATGGGCAGATAAACACCGCTGATGAGTTTATGAGGAGCTACTGTACAGTAATGAAGTGAGTGATGCTGAAAGATGAGAGTCCCAACATGACCACAGCTGCTGCTCCACTCGTACAAATCCTTGAAGTTGAAGCATGTTTGGTCCATGAGATGAGCTTTCAGCGGACGAAAAAGACGGGTTTAGGAAACAGGGAAATTATAATTGATAAGCTAAAGCAAAGATTAAGAAGGAAGTGCTTTCAACTTTCTTTTCATTTTCACAGACGTTATCATGAGCACCGAAAATGGAAATAGTGATATCAGATCCCAGATAGGGAATGTTGTAATCTGCGAGATACCCATCAGTTAATCATTTCAGCCTGTCAGATCGTCTTCTGATATCAGATTAACACTCAGCGGGTGCGGTGTAGTTGAAGGTATTGAGATTCCACTCCATGTCAGAAGAAGAGGGACGCAAGTGTTAAGCGGACGTGGAGTTGCTGCTATTGTTTCCTCACAGCTCTTGCTTGGTGTCTGTAATATACAGACTGTGTCCTCCAGGTAATCAACGAAAGGAAAAGAAATTCTGTACAGATGCATATGAACTTCACTGCAGCCATGGGACATAGGGTGTTTAGTGTTTTATGGAATATGCACATGGAGTATTACGGCAACAAAAAAATGATCAATAATGCATGGCGAGGGACAAGCGAGGAGGTTATCCTGCATGTGTGGAGTTAATTTTGTGGAATATTTTGCTCAAGGACGCATGAACCTCTATGCATGTACACACACCCAGCTAGCATGTGTTAAACAAACTCTTTTTGAATCATACTTTTACACAACCTGATCGTCAACATAGTCAAGCAGCTAAATAGTCTGTTAGCTGATTTGTTTTTTTCAAGGTTCTGCCGGTGCGATCACCCTGAAAAAAATACACAAACACGTTGCAAACACGTTACTGAGCTTTGCATAGGAGTAAATGGAGTTTTGGTTGACTTACATACATACACAGAGCTATGTGGAAATTAGGCGTAATACTCCTTTTCTATTCTGCGGGTGTCCACTTGGAAGACTTTGCTCCAAACGTGCAATAAGTCATGTCTATGTGTGTATTGTTGCGTGGTTACATTTTGCACTGCACGTGGACAGAGGGGGCAAAATTGGGGAGATGACAATATTACGACCCCGAAAGTGTACCGCCAGTCTTACTCTTTTTACCCTGCTACACTTACTTGACAGCTATGGCGACATGACATTCAGTTGGCGTCATGTTTCATTTTGTCCACACAGTCACATTCTTGTACATAGTCATAAATGTGGATGTGTGGAATAAGAGCTCAGGGATTGAATGACCGACCTTCATTTAGATCAACTCCTGATCTGTTATTCCAGCTGAACTACAGCCACTTGTTACCGTTTACTTAACAGATTCCTAAGTGCTTCAGTAGGAGTCAGCTAGACCTCTCTTTTTAGGCCTGGAGACATTTCACCTGTCGTCCAAAACACTTCTTGAGTTCTTCGGTTCAGGATTTTTTAAGATTAGGTCACATTAGACATACGATGATCTTCCAAGATCCACTGCTTCGAGAATGAACTTCTATTACGTTGTACAAAGTACCTTCAACACATCCTGTGATGAAGCTGATCCGTCCACAGTGTAACTTTTTTTTAGATTTTTGTTTAGATTTTTATATTAACTGATTAATTGCAGGTAAGAAAATTGCTAAAAATGCCCATCAACAGTCCAGATTACAATTTGTGCCCATATAAAGAGAAAAGCAACAAATCATTATATTATACAAACTGAAACTTCCATTTTTGGATACAGCAACAGTCTTCAGTGAGTTCATTCACTAACTGATTGTTGTTCTAATAATTTTGACACCAGTAATTAATACAGCAAGGATCATTGTGTACCTAATGAGTACGTACTTTTACTTAAATGGAATTTAAACTAAGCTCTTTCCCTTGTAATAGAGCATGTTTACACCATATTAAAAAAAAGCAAGAAGTCTGAATACTAAGTAGTTTCTCTGTTTAGTGACATTCACTCTGTCTTCTCATCCGTCCCTCGTCTCAGACCCCACTGTGAGTCGCTACCATGTCCAGTGGATGCCCGAGTACTGCAGCCACAACGAGACCCGGGGACCAGAGAAATCCGTCACGCAGGTTAGCCTCCAGCCGCCGTTACACGCAGCCTCCAGCCGAGGGTCCAGCGCAAAGAGCCACGACTCGATCAGCAGCTCCGTGCTATGCAAAGCACGTGCCTAACCCTTTGTCTGATGCTCAGAAAAGACAGCTCCGCTAAGGAAAACAAGTCAACTGAGTGAACCCGAAGCCCTGTTGTGTTGGATTTGCGCTGGGCAAGTCACTGGCTGTTGTTTTGAATATTATGAGTCAGTCGTGTGGTCAGGCATGTGGTGTGTTGGCCAATAAAACGCATTTACTTAAACAATGTTTCCCGGAATGGGGGTTCATTCACCTCCAACGGCCCCAGACATGCTACTGCATGGGGCTTTGTTTTAGGATGCAGGAGTGTCTGTGTAGGAGACTTTTTTTTATTTTTTTGTTGGAGGAGGGGAGGTTAACTGTTTGGGCTCAGGCTGATACAGGATGGCAGAAAGCCTGGCAATCAACACATTCTTTGGGCACCAGCACTCCGGTTGCTAGGAAATATACATCCATTTTCTATAGATCACCAGGAAGGATTCCAGGCTTGTGCTTTTATGTGAACACAGCGCCTCATTCACTTTTGATCAAAGCTGTTTCATATCAGAGGGAATATACACACACCCTTTCCCAGGGGACTGCCTATTAATGTGGGCCCTCTTTATTACTGCGAGGTCTAAACCCACTAGTCAGCTGGATTTTTTTTTTTTATTCCTCGAAGAGAGACGGGAAAAGCTTTTTTTTTTTTTTTTGTCGAGATCAATAGATGAATAAAGTTTGTAATGAGTGGAAAGAGTGAAATGCTGCACAGAATTCATTAACATGGATTTGCTTATTTATTTTCTTGTTGCAAATTGCACACAAATCCAGCTGCTTTTTAGGAGCTCTTCTTGTGCTTCTTATGCTACATTTAGAAGCTATGAAACAAACATGTATATTGTGCTTTTCAAGAAGAGAATGGTGGTCTAACCCCGACCATGTGAGCGTTCAAAGTAGTCCTGTAATGTGGGGCATATTCCTGAGGCTTGAGCGGGAATGTGATCTGCCCCGGTGCTGTGTATTTAATTATCTCTGAAGCTCCATGGGACCTGACCTGGGTGACATGTCAAAGTCATCAGGGCTGAATAATGTGTTTCTCTGCTCAGGAGAACTACATCAACCTCCCGGGTCTGCTGTTCTCCTGCAAGTACAAAGTCACCGTTCACATGCTAAAGTCCAAGAGACGCTCCAAGGACGAGAGCACCACCTTCCTCACCCCATCCTGCGCTACCATCCGCAGCAAGACTCACAAACACATCCCCTGCCCGGGGGAAGGAGGTGAGCATTCAGCCGCTTGACACGTAAAGGGCATTTTACGATCGATCTGCATTAGTGCAGACGGAGTAATTAGATACAGGAGCATATTATAATCATGATGTTGGACAAAATCTATATAGAGGCCAAAGAATAGGTCGACATTTTAGAGGATATTCTTAGCAAACGGCATCGACTCCAGGAAATTTCTGCGTCTAGCTGAGAAATAGTCCATCACAAAAACTCCCATAGAACTATAAAGTGTCATTTTTACTCTTCAGTTTTTGTAGAAATTATCTAAAAAAAAAAGGAAACTTAACATGTTAATTAGCACCATATGTTTCAAGAGTGGCTGTTTGGCAGATTTTGTTACATTTTCGACAGAGCCAGGCGAGCAGTTTCCCCTTGTTTTAAGCTTTAATAGTGGTATCAATATCCTCATCTAATTCTCTGCAATGAAGCGAAAAAGCACATTTCCCAAAATATAAAACAATTTCCTCTAATAATATTAACACAACCTTTCTCCTCACAGCTCCGGGGCTTCCAAAGGTTTTGGCTAAGCCAGAGAACCTGACGGCTTCCTTCTCCATCAACGAGGGAAACATCACCGGCAACTTTCTCTGGCGTGTCTCTCGGGTGGCTCCAAATCAGCGAATCACAGGCTTCCAGGTCACTTGGGCCGAGATCACCACCGAGAGCCGGCAAAACAGCCTGCCCAACAGCATCATCTCCCAGTCCCAGATCCTGCCTCCAGTAAGTCTGCTTTCACTCAAATTGGATTAAACTCCCTCAAACAGCATATGTACATAGCCTTTTTTTTTTTTTTAGTGTTTTTATATCCCACAAATAAATATATGCATGATCTATAGTGGTCTTATCCTGCACTATGGGAAATTTTATCATCTGCTTTTCAATTTAAAGCATCTGTCAGAGGTGACAGTGATTTGAGGATAACACTGTTGTGGCCTCTTTGCATGAATATTGCGATAAGCGGTGGTGTGTAGACAGACACAGGCATAGATCTGAGGAAGTGTTGTGTCCTGCTGGAAGTTCTCCTCCTCCAACTTTTCATCCGCCTTCACGTCTTCCTCTTTCATCCTCCGTGAGAGCTCTGAAAAAGCCGCTCTTTGACATAATCTGCTCCATCAACAACACGTTCCGCCTATCTGCACCTCCCAGCCTCTAGAGCTTGTCTATAAATAAAACCACCCACCGCACGCTTTATCAAGCTGGCAGTGAAAAAGAGAGACAGCCAGCCGTATGAAAACAAAGTCTTTGTTTTTGTCTGTGGCTTGTGCAAAGACAGCTATGCTCCTCTGTTTTACAGCCCATTCAAATTAAAGTCCTGTCAAATTCAGACACGTGCTCTGTTGTATTTCAGCTGATTGCATGTCTTGTTGCTGCTCTCCTCCCTCCGCTCTGCAGGATCATAACTTGCTCGTGGTTTCCAACCTGCGGCCGTCCACCTACTACAGACTGGAGGTTCAGGTCATAACGACTGGAGGAGAAGGTCCCGCCACTGTCAAGACCTTCCAGACCCCCAACATATTACCAGTCATACAACACCGTAAGTCGCTGTCAAACAACTTGCATCATTTGTGAGTTGTACCATAATTTGCTCATTTTGAGCAATAACCTAAAAGATTTAACATTCTGTTATTACTCTGAAAGTTTGTGATGGAACTAATATTTAGTTTGACGGGTGTTACTGGTCACTGCTTAGCGCTTTATGTAGGTTTTCGTGTCATATTAAAAAATATGACACTTGGCATTTTAGTTAATGTGCTTATTTGTTTCTGGCAAGAGGGAGATACAAAATCTGATTCCAACCTCAACATGTGTGCAATAAATAAAAGGCTACAGCCAGCAGCTGGTAAGCGTAGCTTTACAAGTACACTGGAAAAAAAGGGGAAACTCTTTGCCTTTTTCCAAAATATTAAACTATGACTTAATATGATTAACATTATATTTTATTAGCAACAATGGATCATATGTCTCTCAGAGTGATCATAGACGGCATATAAAAGATGGCCACCATGATATCAGCCGTTGTGTCCTTCTGAAGTCTTGAGTTTTAATTCTGGCTTTTGTCGTCTTGTTTTTGTGGATTAAAAAGTGATGAGCGAGGGGTAGAACTGACTGAGAGCTCCAAGACAAAATGCACACTCATACTAATCACAGTACTATGTCAATCACAAGGCAGCCACACAGCATACCCTGCTTTGTCATTTATTTATTTTGAAATGTGGCCATAAATTCCAAAATAAAAATTTGAGACCATAAATTCATTTGGGAAAAAAAAAATCCAGTCAGGAGAAGTGTCATCTTCTGACTATTTTTTTGTGCGGTCATTTATATTTTGCAACCAGATTAGCTTAGCCCTCTTCTGGTCATTACTCAGAGACCTGGACGCTGCATCCATCTTTTACAGACAGTGTATGATGTACTGTAGTTTCACTCAGCTCTCTCTGTTTTGGCACCGAATGGCTACTCAGTGAACCTAGCGGGGGATGTAGCAGCTAAAGAGCCCAAACATGTGAGAAAGAGGAGGTGTTGGATGTGAAAATTGGGCAACTTTTTGCTAACAAGGTGGTAATTTTGCAGAGTTAAAGATGTGACTTTGCAAGTGGCAAAAGATTTATACTGTACGGAAAAAAAGTTCATTAAAAGTTAAGTCAATTATTACTACGACACCACAATCCGAAGTTGTATTTGACAGGTCTTTGAATGTGTGTCTCTTTCCAGGACCCAGACTCCGGCAGCACCACTCCCATCACCAGAAGCCGACGGTGGAGAGACACTGAGTTTGTGAGTCCCAGTTGGGAGAAGTACCAGTGGCTCTCTGCTCCTGTCTGTCAGGGAAGGAATGTGTGGAACCAAACAGAAACACAGCGCACCAGACCATGAACTGACCCCCCTTTTTTGCTCATGAAATATGGGTCTATCTTCTCCGGGCTCCACAACACGTCAGCTATTCCTTCTTAACCCCTCTCTCTTGACTTGTATGTCACCGGACGGGTTTGTCTGTACAGTAAAAGTTATACTGCAAGGTCCTCCTATTCTGCGTCGGTTAGTACACAGCTCCCCAGTTCACCCACAAGGAAGACATGAAATACCAGATTAAAAAGTAAGATCCAGGAATCCCCTCCCCCTCCCCCTCCTCAGACCATTGATTGGATTCAGTTAAAAGAAACACAATTACTTTTGGAACTCGAAGACGGTTGAACGTGGACGGTTGGAAATATCAGAAACTGTAAAACAATTGTTGACTCATGAAGAAAGAAAAGTAGAAATGCATCTATTTATTTTGTGTTACCCACTCAAGAGGCGCTTAGGCATACAGTCAGTACTGATGGATAATGTAACTAAAGTCATCGTCGTCTAACCCAGAATAATTCACGTAGTATGTTGCATGTAGTACATTTGATTTTAGAGCTGTAAAAGAATTACTCGCTTCAAATTGAAAGCCTGTAATGGTTTTGCATGACAACCGTTAGCATTCTGTTGGCATGAAATAATGTCTGTGTTACCTCTTTTCAATATGTTAGCAATATTTCATTAACAGATTAACAAAAGAATTATATTGGAAGTAATATGTAATGTTTATTAATGAAATTATAACTTGTGTGGAAATGATGAATTGTACATGTTCTTGGCTGTAGAAATATTTGTCGTGGAGCAGTCAGTGAATGTCTATATTTATTTATGTGTGTATTACAAAGTTTGGTTTGGATGTGTGTGAATGTGTATGTTTTGTGCGTTTTAGTCTCCAATTTTTGAACCGGCAAAAAATCTTGTAAAGACATTTTGTAAAAATGGAATTGTAAATACAGTCTTATGTTACATGTTATTTTTCCATGGTAGAAAACTGTACAAACTGCTAAGTAATAAAATAATCCTTAACCTGTGCTGCTTTGCTGTTTGTTTGATCCAACCTGCCGTGAGGACTGGACGGACATGCTTTTCCTCCCAATGCTCAGCTATTTTGGCAATCGCCGTTGCTTATTTTGGCTGTAAAATCCTTCATAGCAGACTCTGTTTACGGCCTATTCGCTGATCGGTCCAGGAGACACGTGCTCCGCAAGTCCAAATAAACAGGTCATCGAGCTCCGCGGCCTGAGCAAATTCACCAGCCAACAGTCCGCATAATGCTCTGCTTCTCGGAGAGCGTTAAATACCTCTTCTGCTCGGCGGCCTTTGGCCCTCGTAAAACGTAAAGTGGAAATGTTTACAAGAAAATAAAGCCAAGAGTGACACTGTAAGAGTGAAGCCTGGTGTACTGTGTGTGTGTGTAAGGTGTCATTTTAGGTGTTAAAACCTCAAGCTGAGCTGTTTGTGTATGTTGCGTGAAAACACGTATTTAATAATCCCGATGCATGCCAAATTGTATTAAATGCCGCACAACTTTTATGTGTTTTATCACATGTATCCAGGCGTTCTGACATGCATTACCTTACATTCTTAAAAGCTTTCCAAGCGAGATATATGATGTGCGGTTGTTGTCATTACGTTAAGTTCATTAAGTGAGAAAATTGTCTTGCGTTGCACTGTTGAACATAAGTGTCCTCGCCAGCTGGTGGTTCAGGCGCTTGTTAATGAGGTATTTGTCGTGTTTGGAGGTGAATAGAAACACTAAGCGCTTCCGTTTTCGAGGTCAACGGAACATTCAAACCGCTGCACCTGCTTTGTTTGTGAATGACACCCAAATGGGACGTTTTGGATGTTAAAGACAACTGCTCGTCCAGTTTGTGTCGTGATTCCATCAATTTCCTATCAGCAGAGGTTCATAAAACCCCATAATTTATCCAACAGTGAATCAAACACAGACCAATTAGGCCGGCTTTTATATGGCTCTGTAGATGTAAGGAATAGGAAGATACATACTTTCTGTAAAAACATGCCATCAGTGGTTCAGGTTGCGTTCTAATTTGCCTTAATTTGATCAAAAGACAACTAGTGTCCCCAAATTGCAAATATTATTCAAGGAAGCTACTGGCAAAATGATATTTCTCCTTCTTCCTTCTGTTATGGTTAATCAGTGTTAATTTAGCATCGTAAGTGTGAACAAAATTCAGAAATCACACAACATGGTTTGTGTCTCTATTAAAGTATTTTGGATATTTGTGTTCTCTTGTTGTCATAAGTGCGTGTTTGCGAAGAGATGATGCCATCCAGATGTTTAAAATCCTCTGGCCAAAGTCGGTTCTCATCACCGTTTTCCACGGCGAGCGACAAATTATTCCGAGCCCTTTGCGTTCACACACTCAGCCTCTTCAGTCAGTCAATGCTTCGCCACTCACTTCTCAGGGATGTTGTTTATGTACAGTTCTATTATGTCACAGGAGATTAGTTCCTTGGTCTGTGCACACTAATCCCTCTCTCTTTTCTAGGAGCCGGGCCAGTGTTTAGCGAGGGCTCCTTTTCTGTGCGAGCCAGCCCAGCCCCTCTCCCTTTCAGCTTGTCACAGTCCCCTCTCTGCACACACAAAATACCATGGCCCTCAAGTGTGAAAACCTCAAAACAAAAGGGCCTCCAGCCTCCTTTGAGGCATGTTGCAAGACGTCCAAGTCTCCGAGGACATAAAAGAAAGGGAAAAAAAATGCAACAACTAAATAATGGGCCGGTCGTCGGTACAAAAGCTTTGTCTCTGATGGTACAAGGCCAGTGAGGGCTTATACACTTTGCATGACATTACGTCCCTATTGTGAAAGTCAGGCAGGGGATATTGCTTTCAAATTTAGACACATATTTCTGAAGAACGATATTATTCATTTGGCTCTTTGAATAATCTCAGCCAGTCAAATATTTACCCATGTCCTGGTTGACATTAGTGCTTATTTCATTAGGATTGAGAATACCACAGTGAGTCCTTTCAGAGGGGCACAAAGATGGGCTGTTTCTCCCACACATTTCTTCTGACCTCTCAGCACCCGTTCTGCAGATTAACATTGCAATGAGCCATGCATCACTATTTATCAATCTAAGCCACTTTTACGGGTCATCCCACAATACTTGACGGAGAAACTGTAACATTACTCCTTAAAGGACGGGTGGAAATTTGTGTTTTTTTTTACGATGGGTACAATACAAGCCTGACTTTGAAGTATGAGGCGAAGAATAAAATGGATGGACTTTACTTTCCATTTTTTGAGATGACACAGATCATCGTGACCTGAACAATTTGAGAGCTCCAAATTTCGCTCTCTTGTGAGTTTCGGGTCAGTGAGATCATCGAGCAGATTACTACCACATGGACTGTTTTTTTTTTTGTTGCGTTGCTATGTCTTCGATTTGATGAGATGGAATATATTGTCTGTGAGATTGATGAAAAATAACTAGAGTTACTTTTCCACCCCTTCCATTAGGACAGGCAATGTTGCTTTAATGCTGTGGTATGGTGAGAAATCTGACCTTGCCCTGGGCAGTGGCATGTTTCTGGTTAGGCTCTGGTGAGCGGGACCATGCAGGGGACACATGAAAGGATCTCCCTGTCAGGCCGCAAAGATGTTCAGTCTAAGTCTAATGAAGACCAGAACACATGGACAGACCTGAGAACATGCATGCCACACATTATACGAGCGCTGGAGCTACAACGCTGTTGACAAGCGTAGTATTCGCCTCCTGTTCTTTAAAGGCTGACAAAGTGAAAAGCTTGACAAGCATGTCTGCGCTGTGATTAAAAAGCAGTATTACCAGGACATTGAAGTAAAACCATTGGCACATCCATAGACAGGCAGATAATGCATTTATTTATTTTTTTTCTGCCTTTTATTGTAGCAACAATTCCCCCCTTTGCCTCTGCAGCTCCACAGGGGAACGTGATTTCCAAGATTCAGGCTGGGCTCTTGGAGAGTGGCGTATATTTTATAGATGAAAAATGCCAAACTGAAGCTGTACAAAGTGCGTCATGCTGAGCTGTTATCATATAACTTATTTAATCATGTTTTTTTACAAATAAACAAGCCAGTGCAAGATAATAGTAGTACAGTAAATCCAATGTTACGTTTTCGTTGACAGCGTCAGGGAGCTTAATGTTAATGTAAACTTGTGAAGATATATTAAACATTTGTAGTGAGATGCGATGTGGGTGGCAGAAATAATATCTCTCAGTGTTTAGGTTGCTTAATTCTAGAAGTAAAAGTACGATTTCTGTCACATTTTAACTCAGTGGTGTCACCAATAGAGGGGGGAAATGACTCTACATATTATAGATATTAATGAATCAATTTATTACTTAATAATATTTACATTTTGGATTTACATTTTCTCCCTCAGCAAAAAAAATCTCTGCTTAGTCCATTATGATTGTTTTTATTTTGAGAATTTTAAATATTTTTGTCAATTTTTAAAATGAGAAATGTCGAATCAAGTGATTAAATGTCACGATCTTAAGCTTAGATTTGAACGTATTTCCTGATGGAACAGTGAGTCACTCGTGACACATTTAAGGTCTGAAAGTTCAAAATCCAATTATTCTTCCTGTTTTTACAGTTTCTGGCTCTGATAAATGGTAATTTTGTCAATTTTTTAAACGATAACATGTCTTTTAAAGCTCCCGGCAGGTTTCTGGGGTTCAGAGGGTTAAAATACAAGCAACATTTTATTGTTGCAGCTGGTCCAGGTTATGCTGCTTATATGATCTTTTCATCCGTGGCAATGCTTCATACTGTATTCTACAGTCTGATCATACTAACATACTGGAGTAGAAAGTACATTTCTCTCTGAAACGTAGTAAAGAGTGAGCATATCGTGTGCTTTCTGCTGTGTATAATGCAGTTCGATAAAACAACAACTGCAGCTTCAAGTGACTAAACAGGCGTCCCCTGAAGAGAAATGCGGCTCCACGATGAAACACGTTGCAGACATTTCCCCTCCATCCTGAGTTGAAACACACTTTGGGTCAAAGGTAGGTAAGAGGTCCTATATGTTTGTGTTTACAAAGAAAACGTCACCAGAAGAATCTTTATCTAAATCCCTCTTTCCAAACTAAACATCCTTCTCCACGGGAATACAAAGTGAAGAGATCAGGCAAGAAAGTACCATCCAGCTGGGTAATAGCTGTTTATAATCCCCTCTGATTAGTGTTAATCCCCTTGATGCTCCTTCCTCAGAATAAACACATGTTGACCTGAGTGACCCACCCCTAATTAATGAAGTTAAGAAGTTTGCTATCGTATTCACAGTGGTCAATCCACTGTCATGGGAGCTTGTACTAAAGTAAACTTTGCTCTCAATTATATATTTTAAGGCAATGACTAAAGAAATACAGCAGCTGACACATTTACATCGGGACCGGCCGGTGTCAGCTTTTTCTCAATACAATACCCGCCCCAGGCATGACTGGCAATAAGGAGAAACTTTCCGTCTTGTGTTCTTTTCTCCTGTGAAGTCTTTGCGCCGGGTCGGTAGCCGGGCCTCTGGGGCGAGGCAAAGTTCACAGGTCAGCTGTACCCAGGAGGACGGACGGCAGCGTGAGGGCAGAGCCCCGGCTCAGGGACAAGGGAAGGGTCAGGGGTTGAGTTCAGACGGAATCCACACGGAGGATGTTGAAACAGATATTGTCAGGGGAGAACAGAGCTTCCTCCACCTTTCCCCCGCCGGCCCACCACAGGCACAAGAACCCAACACTGAAAACGCATCTCCAACTCTGAGCTTCAAAGGTGTTAATAAGGTGCTGCATCTGCTATACAATGTGTCTGTTACAGTAAGAGAGTGAATTATGACAGGCATAATTTGATGTGAAAACAACGTGCTTCAGCGCCTCAGCTTCCTCTGTAGCTCAAAATAAACTTGCGTGACAGAAAAAGGAGCAGTGAAAAAAGCAGGAAAAAAAGGTGTTCTGTTTAGAGATTAACATCCACACAGTTAATTTTGCTTTGTCTACAATAAACAAATCATCTGATTGTTA